TGAGCTGAATTACAGCAGGTGCCGCTTGTTTTCTATCCTAGCGCGTGTGGCAGCATCAAGAGCACGCAGATAGACGTGCGATTGTTTTAGACTAGAGGTTGGTGTGTATGGGGGCCTGCGTCCTAGTGTAAAGGCTGTGTATGTGCATGGCGTGGGGTTCCATCCTGCAGGAAGCATTTGCCCAACGCCTGCCCCATGCTGGGCTCTCCTCATTAGCATTGGCCCAGCAGGGATAGTTAAACAGGGCTGGCCTTCAAGATGCTCATCAGAAGTTGACACATCAGGAGGGGACTGAAGCTGTGGTGTTGTCCCAAGATAACAGATCAGTGAGGGGTCACTTGCTCAGCCAGGGAATTTTTTTCTTCTAAGGAAGCTTCCTTTGTTTGATAGAGATAAGCTTACTACTGCTCACTTCAGGGAGCTGCTCAGATGTGGTCTATCGTCAGGTTACTTTGTATGAGCAAGACTACGAAGGCTTGCTGAGCTTCCTTTACTGTATTAGACATGGTAGAGAAGGTGTTTCTCTCCTTTCACAGGCTTTGGGAAGTATCTGAGTTTCAAATGCAGAACACTGTATTACCGGCTCCCTACTTCTCCCTGGGGAAAGTTAATATCTGAGTTTTTAAATGGATGGCCCTTATTCAAGAGTTATTTTTCAGTTTGCTGATTACATAATTATCAAATGACCTCCCACATCAAAAAAAAAAAAAGACAGAAAACAAGAAAGGTATCAGTGGCCAGGCACGGTGGTGTATGCCCATAGTCCAAACACTCAGGAGGCTGAGGCAGGAGGATTGTTGCAAGTTCAAGACCAGCCTGGGCTACAAAGTGAGCTCAAAGCCAGCCTACACTGCATAGTGAGAGCCTTAAAAAGGATCTCAAAAAGACAGAAAAAAAAAAAAAAAAAGAAAAGGAAAAGGTATCAGCAACCAGTGGCTGAAATAGTGCTTCAGACCTTTATAAATTTGAATTCACCTAGAGGATTGCATAATTATAAATACTTTTGAACAGTCAGGTATGAATTAAGGCCAAATTTAATATTTTTAGGCTGCAGGGCTGCTGAATGCACTATATGTTGATTTCATTTCCTTCTTGCCAAATGATTAATCAGAATTAGGTGCATGACAGAAGACCTTATAATCTTAGGGGTGGGCAGATTCCCTATGTGTTGTAGTATTCATATTTTAGGGAAGTATTTGAGAAGAACTAAAGCCCACAAATCTGAAATTACAACCCCTGCCTCATCCAAGATGCAGCATTGCCTTAACAGTACTGATACTTATTGTGAGTTTCCGAGCCCTGACGTCTGACATGGAGCAGCCCTCCCTGCTACCTCCAGTCTCCATAGTCCAGACTCCACATGGTGCAGCTTCTTTATCTTGGTGCTCTTTTCCTCCTTCTCCTGGGGTTCATTATAAAGCAATGAATTTAGTTATGAGGTTTCTAGCAGTACTAACTACATTTCTTGGCACTGAGTAGGACCTCAACAAATCTAGGCGGAATAGGTAGTCACGGAATTCGGAGTAAGCTCCTGTCCTTCGTGCATTTAGCTTGGGTGGTCATTATTTTCCTTTGTGCGCTGTCTCTGGGACTTACAGCTGTATCTGAAGCAGTTTTGTCCTCCAGGTATTTGATATCTGAAGAGGACTCAGACACAGCTGACCACATGCAAGCTGCTAGTGGTCTTCACACAGAGAGATTTTCACACAGAGCCTCGGACATTTTGAAAGCAAACACATGCAGTTTCGTGAGCGTGGCATGTGAAGGGATGCATGTTTCATGGAACAGAGAGTTATTTAGGATAGGTCTGTGAGGATGGATCACATCTTGATAGCCTGGGATGGGGCGGGGGAGGAGGTGCTTCCCTGTGGAAGGCAGAAATAACCAGGCAATATAACCAGGCTTAATAATAACCAGGCTCAATAACAACCAGGCTCAATAACCAGGCAGAGAGATGAATTCACACAGCCTTCCTGGGGACGTAGGGAGTGGCGAATCGCTCCACTTAGCTAAGACATGGAATTTAGAAAAAGGCCAGAGACGGCGCTGAAGAGTTGGTGAAGGGCCGCGGTTCAGGAAGGCTTTGAGATCTGGCGTGAGGACTGCGTAGTTATTTGTCCGTGAGAGATGGCCAGGGGCCCAAACCCATCCCTATGTGGAACGATGAATTACAAGAATGAAGTCTGGAAGTTGACCGCACCACTGAGGACACCCAGAAACAGCCCCAATATGACTAATTATGTGCTGTCCACCGCCCTCCGTCCCCACCCTTCTTGCCTGTACTGTGCCGACTTTAGTCGTGAGGGCTCCCTGAAGACTGCAGTGTGTTCCCCACCGCCATCTCTTCTAATCAGGGACATCAATCCCATGTAGTTTGGTTGGTTATTTTCGATCTTGAACCAACAATTTATACAACGAAGGGAAAGGAAAGCCAAGAAGGCTGCAGGAGACGGTTTAATTGGGGGCTTGACGGGGCCACAGAATTGTGCAGTGGCACTGAGGCCCCAGGTGGCAGCACTGGCCTCACTTGTCCTGGACTCCTGGTCTGCCCTTCCCTGTCATCTGTCGGGTGGTGGTGTCTAGAACAGCGACATCCGAGACACCTGGGGTGAAGGTGTCAAGTATTGCATTCTTTTTAAAAAGCCCCATAGGTTTTTCGTCCCTTTGTTCTGCTGTTTTTGGGCAGAGGAGCTGTTAACGGTCTTGCCTTCTCTTTCTGAGCCGCAGTGGGCGAGGCTACTGCCAAGACCGAAGGTGTGCAGAGCCTGCACTGGGGCGAGGCTTGCGCTGCTGGGTAGGTGAGTGAGCTCTGCAGGAATTTCTTCCCGGGCTGTCCAGCTTGGCTTCTGCATACTAAACATGGCTTGGGTTGAATTTCTCATGTTCCCTTTGTATCTCAAGTTTCCGGGCGAATGTTTTAGTAACAGCTTTCTTAGGACAGATTTTTGTTTTGTTTTTTTCCTCTCTGGGAAGAAAATACTCTCCATAGATCTTTTGGAAAGATCCTTTCTATAATATTTAAGTTCAGGATCTGGGGCAGAGTAAAAAATTGGAATTTGACATTTTCACTCAGCTCAGAGGTAATTTATTAGATATGTTTTAGTTGGACTTAAAATAAGAACCTCTGCCATCAAAACCAGAAAGATAATTAACTTCTGAATCTTTAGCCTAAGAAATGTCTTAAAATATGTGTAAAGATTGACAAGTAAATATAAGGCTGATTGCTTATGAGCCAAAAAAATTCAAAACCTTATAAAATTAAAAGTCCAATGTAGAGATGGTTAAGTAATACAGTTTTATTTCAATATAATAAGGTATTCTGCAGCCATTACAAAGAAAAATAGTTAAATAGTAACTAATATAAAAGTACCACTACAGTTATTGGACCTTGCTTTTCTTTTGAACCTATGAGTAAATGACCTAAACACATTTGCTGTGTGTTTAGCACCTAACCATTATAGTAGATATTTTTTAAAGCTTAATCTTCATAATGACTTTTTGATGTTGAATCCTTACTTTTAAATAGATGTGATAGAAACTGTATAGTTCAAGATTATTTCATCTGGCAGGTTACAGAAGTCCAAATCAAAATGTGACCCCAAAGGGGAGTCCAGTAGCTCCCACACCCGGAAAGTTTATTTCGTTTGCTTCAGGTATAGCTGAATTTAGGAACTCAATCTTTTTGTGTGTGGGGGTGGGTAGGTGGGGGGCATCAAATCTGTTTCTTTACTCTCTGGGATGTGTTTATCTCTGTTCAGTTTTATTTGTTAAAAAGACACCTCTCACATCATGAGCAATTTGGCCAGCACCAACTAGACCCACCTGTTCCTAGCTTAGCAACCTAAAAGGAAGAAGAAATGCACTCCATGGGTGAATCGGACAGGAGACTTTGATCCATTCTGGCTGGTGTCACTTGGCCATATGTAGTGTCCCGCGAGGCACCACGTGGCTAGTCCAGCAGGACTGCGTGGGGGGGGGGCTGTGTCTTCCTGAGGGACCCGCCGTGCTTGCTCTTACTCATCCGGCCATACATTCCCACTTGAACCATCAGCAGACAAAAGTCTTTCCCTTTGTTCAACTACTTCCTATTCTTTTTCAAGGCTCACTGACTTGTTTTTTGACACCCAAACCAATAGCTAGCGCTTTTTCCTGTTGACTCTCACAGGTTATCTCCGTCACCATAATAAAAGAGTACCAGCTTTGTGTGACATCTTTATCTTGTCCTGTTGCCTTGACTGCCTCTTCGAGCACGGTGAAGACTTGAGTGTCTCATGCCACGGCAGCCCTGACGTGGGTTGCACACAGTGGGTGCTCAGCAAGTGGGTGAAGGTTCTTGACATTTCATTTTCCTGCTTCCCGGTGAAAGTGGGTGACTATGCAGCCCCAGGGGACGAGCTTGCCTCTGGCCTCACTCACCACTCAGCACCGTGCGTGTTACTCAGCCTCAGTAAATCTGATGCAGCATCTGCAAAGTGTGGATAATGGTGGCTGCCTTAAAAGTGGTGGGAAATTAAACGAGGTAATGTCCCTCGTATATAGTTCTGGGCCTGCGGAAAGTGCTCAAGCGTGAATTGCAGTTCAGACACTGACATTAAATCCTGCTTTTCCCTAGCCTCAAATGCAGTTTTTCTAAGTTCTTTTCCCACCATAATAATTTTCTTTACTTTGTCGTGTACTTTCTAGATATTTAATGACTTACCAACCTTTCTATCCATAAATGTGGCTGCTCAGTTAGCTAGAGGGCCACTCAAGCACAATAAAAGTCTCACTGCAGTTAAGGCTGAAGTGCCTGTTTTATGGGACAGTATATAAATTCATTTGATGCATCTTAGACATTTCAAAACAACAAGGAGAAGCATTCAAAGTTGGAGGTCTCAGATAAGAGGCGGAATAAAGACAGCATCACACCTCGGCCAGTGTCTCCCGTACTTGCCATAACTGCACCTCTCATAGAGAACCCTAGCCTATTTTACCTTGAATCACTTCTTACATATTCCCAGGGCGAAGTTCAAAGGACCTTCTTAACTGGCCCCGTGGCTTTGGTCAGGGCTCTGCTAATAAGCAATGGAAAGGAAGATGCCCAGCTGGGAGAAAGGGCTAAGAGCACTGCAAAACCCCAGCGCTGGACTTCGTTTGTCCGGTGAACCATGCAGAGCACAGGAAGACGATCCTAAGCTGCTGGGAGCCCCCGTGAAGTCAGAGCTGCGTGTGTGAGCATGTCTGCTTTGGGTCTGAAGACACAGATCCAGCAGGTCATAGGATTGTTTGCAGTCTTGTGGGGAACGGGGTGGTGAAGATTTCCCCACATGCAGGTGATAGCTGTGAAAATCCAAGCCTGGTTTCTCAGCCGAGTACCACATCAAGTTTTCCAAGTCTCTTCTCTCCACACCACTGTGTTTTTCACGCTCCTCTGCATTTTGCAGTGCTGGCAGCTGACACAGGATTCAAGCTCCTGTTCTCTGTGTCCTGGAGTTGCCGTCTGTCCCCTCTCTAAAGCTTCAGATCGACAGGTGGTGGGGGTACAGCGAGGCCATCAGCTCCACACTCAGGCTGATAGCATTTGTCTGTAAGGACAGCAGTGTACGCTGAGTCTGGGGACTCAAAGAATAAGAATTATATAAAAGAGCATTTGCATCCATTGCATTTCTCAGGATGAGAAAGTCAAGTTTTCTCACATGTACCTGTCTTCCAGCCAGTCTGCCCACTGAGACTAAACAGACGCCAGCTGCAGCACAGGAGGTACAGTATGGCCACCAGGGTAGATCATAACAAGGCTGGTGAGAAGAGCAGCTTCCCTGAATCAGCACCTGCTGAGTGCCTGTGTTACTGTGATGGCTTTATGTGTAATAACTCATTTAATCCTGCCAACATCTTCCTAAATTCTCTCTCTTTCGTAGGTGAAGAAATTGGACAGAATGGCTCCAACACCTGCTCCGAATCACCCAATGCAGAGACAGTGCTGAGATTTGGTTCCGGAAGTCTAGCTCTACAGCCTGAATCCCTTGCCTTTGTCCTCATGACACATTTTTTGCCTCAAAAGTGATAGGAATAAAGCAGGTAGTTGGGAGCTAAACATCAATGATCATGTCCCTTGAACGCAAGAAAAAGATATGTCTTATTACCAAAAAGGAAGCATCGGGGGCTGGGGATTTAGCTCAGTGGCAAAGTGCCTGCCTGGCAAGCGCGAGGTTGTGAGTTTGATTTCTGGTACCGGAAGAAAAACAAAACAAAACAAAACAAAAAAACAAAAAGGAAGCATCGCACGAACTTTTGTTTAATTGAAAAAGAAAAACTAAAACCCAGTGGTGTCTGAGGTTGCCACAGGAAAATGCCCAGCGGAAAGTTACGGACACTGACTCCCAGGGCCATGCTTTCGCCCCTTTCCTTGCCAGCTGTCTGCCTTCTGTGGTGACTGTGGGCTTAAGCGAGCGCCCGGAGTTTCTGGGGACTACTCAGCTGGCCGGAGCCCCGTCACTAGAGATGGAGTCAGGAGCAGCACAAAGGCTCCTGATGTCTTTGGGGAGAACACGAGAGCACTTTGATGACCGGCCTCTAGGACTGGCCCAGGACTTGGCGCTGGCACCACATTCCGCGCTAGGAGGGCAGCTGGGTGAGACGGCAGCACTTCAGAGGAAGAAGCTGCAAGGCTGAGATGTTTGGGTCAGGAGGGGTGTGAGCGGGTGCTGCCGACAGCTAAGAGGAGCCCAGGTGGCCCCAGAGCATCTGGCAGCCAGGACCTGGCAGTGAAATTCACAGACCAGGAGAAACAAACACAGTGAGAGGGAGAGAGTTCCAGGGAAGTGGAATTATTCAGAGAAAGATGAAGCAGCTATTGAGCTGAAGTCAGAGGCTCCTGAGTTTCCTGGGAAAAGTGCATTTGTTGATGCACAATTTATAGTAGTTTAGATTAAGGGTTTTTTAGGTTCATACTCTTCTGTATTATCAACATTTCTTCAGAGTGAGCAGGCGGAACACATAACACGCACACACACACGCACACACACACACACACACACACACACACACACACACACACCCGGAGAGTCGGATTCTGACAAGTATGTCTATGACTAACGGAATACATACTATCAGGGCTTCAGGTATTATTGGTAGCACCAAATGCACTGTGCCTGAGGCAGAATTTGATAACCAGTGCCCTCCACCCATCCTGCTCACTGGCCTCCAAACGCTCTCGCACACTTTTCAAACAATCTGCACCCCTGGAGCCTGGGAGGGCGTGTCCCCGCTCCCCAAGAGAGGTCCACTCCTCCAGCAGGCATGTGCCCGAGAGTCACAGTGAGCCAATGATCCCCCTCACCACACTGTGTGCTCTTAATTCAGCAGGTACATGTTGCTTGGCCACTGAACATACTTGCTGTCTACTATAATGAAGCATGCTTGGCTGGGACGTGGAGCTGACAAGAAGAGACAGAGAGGAGAGCAGAGGAGAGGAGAGGAGAGGCCGCGGGACAGGGGTTAAGAGCCAGGGGAAGTGGGGGGAGAGAGAGAAAGAGATTTCCTACAACATCTGAATAGCTCACAAACTGCACAATCTGATTTTCTTCTCCGATTACACACACACACACACACACACACACACACGCTCAGGCTACACAAATAAAAGTGCAGCTGACAGTAAAGAGCCTTTGACACGGAGCCTCCAGATCTGCCGCTGCCTTCTGTTCTCCTTCCTCAGTTGTGACCACAGCCTGTGCTTGAAACTGGAGGGCCCGAGTTGGTACGGGACCCGGAGTCTTCCTTCCAGTCACACAACAGAGCGGGGCTCGAGTGGGGACTGAGGGGCTCCTTGGGAGGCTCCCCCAGCGACTGGGATCTCAGGGTCTTGCGTTGAGCTCTCTTTGTGGACGTGCGGTAGCAGACGGGGCTTGGGTTCGAGGGGTGGAAGGGAAGCAGGGTCCCGAGGGCCGCAGCCGATTGAAGGAAGGTGCCCGTGGTTTCCCTCTGTAGCACGAAGGGACTGCCTGGTAGCGGGCAGGAGAAGGACCGACAGTGTCGAGGCCCGTAATGCTGGCGCAGTGAGATAGCGCGGCTTTGTCGCAGCCCCGTGCCTTTCCCTGTGCGGGCGCCAGCTCCTCCCGCCTCGGGCCGCTCGCGCCACGTGTGCTCTGACTCGCTGCGCAGACGCGGTGACAGGCGTCTGACGGTTACATCGTGAGCCATGTAAGGCCGTGAAAATCCAGCACCCCACAGGCTAGGTCACTGGACAGAGTTTCGGTCCTTGCTGCACCAGTACCTTTGCCCCGAATGACAGCCGGGGAACATTCCCAATGCCTGGTGCTCGATAAAGACAAACGAAGTCACATCTGTAGAATGAAACTGCAAGCCCCAGGACCACGAGTGTTCCTTCCAGGCATAGAATTCTCTTCTCGTCTCTCAGGACTGTTTCCAGGCTCAATGCAGTGGCATGAAAACATTTGGAATGCTTTAGGCGTAAACCGAAATGAGCCGCGGCCGCTTGTGTGCCTGCAGTGGGGAAACGCTCCCGCCCTGTACGCCCTTGCCCAGCCTGCTCCCGGAGGCGTGGGAGCCGGAGCACCGTGGCCACTTTCTTCCCCGCAGGATCTGAGGTGGACATGGAGAATCTCCTGGGCTCACGAGATAGTGAATGTAAACCAGGCCCCTGACAAGGCTTCACTGGAATGTGGGATGGTGTTCTTTCTACATTCGTTCTTACAACACCCTTTCTACTCCGGAAGATAAGTTATTCTTGTAAACCTATTTCACATTAATAGGAGAAAAAGCCTCACTATTTGACGTGAGATCTGAAAATGGCTCAGAATATCTTGTCCCAGACACATAAGCAAGAGATTGGCTTTAAAACTCTACTCCGAGGAACACGACGAAATGATATAACCAGATGTGGCGTTTCAATTCCACAATCGTGCTCCATTCAGGTGGCTGTGTCTGCTTCCTGAGGACAGATATTTACTCATCTGTACAAGAAGCTACTTACTGTAGCGATGCACAGTAGCCGGCTGATTCCTTTGCTAGGGTTTTCTTGCTACTGTGTTAGCATCATTAACAATTATGTTACCTCTAAACGTTCAGATTCTCATTTCTGCTTAAGGGGGAGGTAATCTTATCACATGTATTCAGTAGATAAAATATTTTTTAAAGTAGCCTTTGATAAGCTTGGACTCCATCTGTCTGAAATTGCTCACACTCCTGGCACAGATATAGGAATCAATCCTGGTAACTTCTGATTTATAATACAGATTGACCTGGCCATTTTTAAAACCTGTTTTCTCTCACTGGCATCTTCTGTGTGCAGCAAAGAAAACTGCGGCACAAGCAGAGCCCTCCCATTGTTCTAGCATCCTGGGTGTATGCGAGTCTCTTTATGGAGTCTGCAGGCAAGTGGAGAATCCTTTATGACGGGGGATGAGCAGAAGAGCCTACGGGTCACTGGGTTTGTGTTGTGGGTCCAGAGTAAGAAATCAGCAGCTCTCTGGTGGTAGAAAGCCACCTGCCTCACCTCCGTCCACGCTGCCTCCTGCATGAGGGTCTTGGGCTCATGCATGGTGGTCTTTTGGGTCCTGGATTTGATCTGTGTCCAAATTCTACACCCTCTGCCTAGCCGCGATATGACCTAGGAGAGTTAATTTTTCCAAGTCTCCTTTGCTTCATCTATAAATGTGGATAATAACATAAACTAGGGCTGTTGTGAGTAGTGAATTAGCTCAGCACCGAGATGAAGCCCAGGCGTTACTGTCACGATCATCATGTCGTGTGTGTGTGACGCGTCTCACCCTGTTCTGTAGAACTTTAAGCTGAGATGGTAATTTGTTAATTTTTGGATGGATACTTGATTTCTTAAAACTGCCTTAATTAGTTCATGTTAGCATAGTATAGTAACTTTGTTGTATCAGACTATAAATTCAAATCAGAGCCTCCCAAATTAGAGAATTTTTAAAAAGTATATGCTTTTATCAAAAACAAAATAAAACAACACCCACAAAGAACAGAGGGTAACCAGAGTACAGCCGCTCCAGTAATGTCCTTCCTGAATGTATGTGGTTGAGTTAAAACCAGTACCACTATTGCCAGAGTCTGAACAAAGGTTTCTGCCTTGGCTGAGGGGTTTGCGCCTGACCCGCCTCCTTGGGTCTCGCTCTCACTGTGGATGTGCTTCCGCCTGCCCCGCAGGAGTAGTGTCACCGAGCACCCTCGCTTCGCCCACCCTGGCCTTGTCCTGGTGTGACTGGCGGCCACAGGGTTTGCTGGCCCCAGCTCCAGGGCTGCTTTGATCGGTGTGCCATCTGCCTTTGCGATTCGTCAGACTCGGCTCTCTTTCCCTATTTTTAACATGTTATTTTAGTTTGTTAATACTTGGTGTAGTACATAGCGGTCGCACTCCTTGTAGGGAGCTGGTACACGCACGTGACACAACTTCATCTCTTTTTCCATCCCCTTTCCCTCCACCCTCTCCTTCTCCCCTCACCCTCGATCCTCTTCCTTTTCATGCATGCTTGCAGCACAGAGCACTTACACTCCTTGTGGGGAGCGGTGCGTGCATAGAGCACATCCCGATTCCTTTTCTTTTTTTTTTTTTTGGTTTTTCTCCGGTACCGGGAACCGAACCCACGACCTTGCGCTTGCCAGGCAGGCGCTTTGCCGCTGAGCTAAATCCCCAGCCCCTCCGATTCCTTTTCTTAATCCTCTGTCCATCTCAGGTCTCTTTTAAAATTAGCTTTCATCTGCTAAGTAATGAGCACATCACTTTTTAATATCACAGAAGTTTGATCTTGGTGCTTTCCCTTCTTTATTACTGGAATTATCTCTACCAGGAAGCAATAAAATAAAACATACCTAAAGCAAAACACAACTCAGGGTTTCATCAGCTATTGCTTGATGTGAGAGCATGCCTTTAAGGGGCGATTTCACTTGAGTGGAATGTGGTTTTACATAGCATACTAGATCTTCCCCCACTTTGTGGGCGAACTAGCTAGGCAAGCTTCTTCCCTCTGGATGTCCTGACATTCCTTGGACTTGAGAATTCCTGTCAGAGTGCCCCCAAGTGTCTAGAAATGGATGGGTGCATGTTAGCGTCATGTACACGCGTGACCCTGTCATTCGTGTATTTATCTGCATGTTGTGGGAGGAAGGAACGGAACTAGGCGACGCTATGAAGCTGCTCAGCTCCAGCTTGAAACGAGGGGGAAAAAGGCACCTGCTCAGAGATTCAAGTTCCGTCTCCATTTTCCTCCTTTCTTAGCATATTAAAGGGCCACAAATCTGACTCTTTTTTAGTTTCTCCACCTTAACTACAAAGTTCCGAAAATAGGCATTCCGCCCAGTTAGCCTTCGAAACTCACTCATTTTGATTCAGGGCTTGATTAGAAGTTTGTAAAATTTATTTTACTCACATACTCCCTAAAAGAATTTCTAACAATTGTGTTCTTACCTGTGTAAAGTGTGAATCTAATTTTGATTTTAGTAAAAGTTTTAATAGTTTCAAAGAACAAAATTTCTGCTATATTACAAGTATGGATTTTTAAAAGTATACCTCCTGTGTCAATTTTAAATGTTACAATTAATATTTATTCAATATTCCTTATCACCCATTAAGATACATTCTTTAACAAATAGAAATTTTACATTTTTGTTTTGTTCTCTTTGCACTTACATTTCTATTATACTTTCCTCACAGAATTATAGCTTAATTTAGTATATTTAAAAGTATTTTATTGATCATCCTATTATATTTCTTTGCAACAAAAATAAACAAATTTAAGGAAAGATGCTTCTGAATTGCCCATGATGCTAAGGGTTTAAGTGTTACAATTTCCTTTTAGTATTGCAAATATTATTCAATAGGCAACTATCCAAAAGCAACAAAAATGTATTATAAGTTTAATAAGTAATAAATTCAAACAGCAAAATTTTATTGCAATTTATGTTTCTCAGATGTGCTGGGTTTTTCTTCAGTTACTTTATAAGTATTTTTGGACACAGGTTAATTGTTTCTAGAATGGGACATGATTCAGCATCGATTCTCTTTCCACTTTTTAATTTTACAGATTTTCATGCTGCAAAAACTTGCTTGCATAAATGTGGGACAAGAGGGAGTTTTGTTGTAGCACCGTTATTTCTTATTTCTTCCTGACTTCATGTCTCAAACCACATAGTCACCTGTACAGAGAAAGTATTTCTAAATGTTGTATCAACTGATTAGCAGGTTAGGACTTTCAATTATACTGAAAGGAAAAAGTGGGAAATTTCATTATACCCAGCAGGGTATAAGACCCAGGCATTGGACTCAGTTCTGTCAGCACCAGCATTTCAAATTTTTTCCAGTGCTTCACATGTCTTGTAGTCTATAATGTACCGTGCAGTAAGAGTTGGGACATAGGGACAGATGCTTTTCTTCATCAAACGAGGTAGGTGAGTGTCACACTCTGGATGATGAATATGTCCCCTATGGCCCGATACTAAAGGCTTGGTCCTCAGGGTTGCACTACTGGGGTGTGGGAGCTTGGGGCGGTCCTGGGGCACTGGAGGTCACTGGGGCAGCCCGCAAAGGCAGTGGCGTTGCCCTGACTCTTTTCCTCTGTCCTTTTGCTCTCTGACTGTGAGGTGAGGGGTTGGTTCTGCCATGCACTCTCCACCACCGCCATCTGGCACTGCTGCCAGATGCTGAAGCCAATGCAGCCATTCAGTGACTGGCTGGAACCTCTGACTGGAGCCTCTACAACAGTGGACCAGAATAACCCTTTTCTCTTTATGAGGTAACTGTCTCAGGTATTTTGTTATAGTGACAGAAAACTGACTAACACAGTGATTAAGAAAAAGAGAGCAAGATATTTTCAGAGGCAAGACATAACTTAAAAGTTATTTTCTGAAACTTCTCCCTGCCCATGCACCCCTCTGAGGGTCTGTGTGTCCTTCTGGGTAAGTGCGTGCTTGTGTTTTCACACACTGTCCTGTGTTGATTTCATCCAGGTGAGTCCTTGTACCATTGTCTGAGGCAGCAGAAAATGGTGGCTGTTGGGATGCTTGACAGTGGAGGGAGAGAGTGAGAGTGTGCAAGTGTGTGCAAGAGATGGAGAACTCCATTTTCAAGCCAAATAGTTCTGGGCACAGACTATCAACACTGAGGGAACAACACACCTCAAATAAGCACAAATCCCACTGTCTAAACAGCCAGTGGGAAAAACACCCACTTCCCCAGGGCTGCGGTTGTAAGTGACTCTGTGGCAAGCCTCACAGCTCTTCCTCCATCCTGTGAGCTTCCCAACTCTTATTTCAGAGGGTTTCCAGCAAGTCTTGTGATTCCTTCCCAAGGCAAGCACAAGACACTTGACAGGTTCATGTTTCTCCTGTCGATCCAAGAAATGTGGATGAAAAAGAATATGAATTCCTTTCAAACACCTGCCTCGAGGGCTCAGAAACTTAAAAGCCCTTCAAGCATTAGCAAAAGAAATTAGAAAGGGGTGGGAAAATGCTCTTTCAAACTTACAATCAGCGGGCCACGGTTGTTTTCCCGGTACTTGTTCTGGAAGAAGATGTACACAACAGTGGCAGCCAGAGAGTAGAGGAAGGCGAAGACGGCCACGGTGACGAAAAACTCTGCTGAGGACGAGGAGTCTCCGATCAGCGCCAGCCTCTGCCGTCCCTTCCCCTCGCAGGTGGGCACCTCGAAGCTCACCTGGTGCAACCTAGACCGCCGGGTTGAAGAAGACATGTGAGTGCACTGCAGAGAAAACTAGAGATCCTACCTCTCTCTCCTAAACAAAGCGAGGTGTGACTCGAGAGTTTCATGGTATGCCAACGGGGACCTCCACCAAGGAATTTACAGAGGTCGGAACTGGTGTGTGGGCAGAGGAATTTCAGGAGACAGTAGATGGAGTTTCCCTGTCCCACCCGACACTTTCTGTCTGCACGATGGCTGCCGGCGCTGCACCCAGCGGCCTGGCTGTGTCTCCAGACTGCGCTCTGCTGTGTGAGCTCTTGTTCCTACCATCTTGTCTCTTTTTTTTTTTCTGGTACCGGGAATCGAACTCATGACCTTGCGGTTGCCAGGCAGGCGCTGTGCCGCTGAGCTAAATCCCCAGCCCTGTTCCTACCATCTTGGCTCTCTTCCAGTTCTCAGTTATGTCAAGCACGGCCCGTCTGAGTGTCTCATCACTGACTGTCGTGTTTCTGCAGTCATTCTGCCCCCTGACGTTTGCCAAACTGCCTTTTTGGCATTCAGAGGGCAGCTCCGACATCTCCCGTGACAGCTTCTTCCTAAACGCTGGTCGGAAGCAGCCCTTTCCTTTAGACATTCTCTTTGACACACTACTGCATAGTGTTACTTGCAGGGTTCATTACCAGCTCAACTGCCTCTGTCACACCTGTGAATACTTTTCTGTCTCTGCCGCCGCCTTATCAGTGACTAACATCTCAACAGTGGAAATCCTGGTTTTCTTCTTTGTGTGTACCGAAAGTCTAACTTCAGTTATGCACTCAGTCCTTGGATAAGTGAATGAGCATTCCTGATTCTCTCCGAGAACGGATAGGCTCTAATTCAGCTGAATGTCTAGAACCTCTGTTTTAGGGAGTGAGTTCCATCAGGATAGTATTCAGGCTCAATATACCGTATTCCTTGACAGAAATAAGCATTGAAAAATACTTCCCGCTCAGCGGATGACACTCAAGGAAGATGTGTTACAGCTCCATACCACCGCTCAGGCTTTGAGCAAGAACTCAGAGTAAACTGCAAATGAGTGTAGGAACCAAAATCCTTCTCCAGAAATTGCTATAGGGAAGCACCTGGAAATAGACATGACTGTGGCTTCTTTATGTCAATAAAGTATCACTTGGAAATTATTCATAAAAGTAACAGTGATGGGGGCTGGGGATTTAGCTCAGCAGCACAGCGCCTGCCTGCCAAGCGCAAGGTCGTGAGTTCGGTTCCCGGTACCGGAAAAAAAAAAAAAAAAGTAACAGTGATGATAAAGTCGTCCATGAACCTAAAAAATTACCAACTTATGCCTAGAAAGTGTATTTCTTACTGAGCAAAATGTACTCCCTTTCAGCACATTTGTTGTGCATATTCTTTTCCAGTTAGGTAGCAATGATAAAATAATACTGATAATGATAGCAACTAACATATGGGAGCATTTCTCATGTTCAGAATTTGTGTCTTGAATCCATTATTTAATTTAATGTAGGCTTTTTTATTATCTCCCCCCTCCTTTACAGGTGAGAAAACTGAGGCCTAGCAAGACTGAATGATTTGTCCTAAGGCACATTGGTCCAGGGCCTTAAATCTGTATCTGATTTCAGAGGCCGATTTTCACACTTCTCCATTAACCTGTTCATGGTAATTAGTGAAAACACTGACTAGAGTGAATGTTCTTTCAAGATGAAGCCCCAGGGCCACTCACAGTGCCTCCTGGGCCCACCCCAGACTCTGCCAGCTCTAGGAGCAGGGTCTAGGCGACAACTAAAGCAGGAGACTCCATTTCCCCTAAGCCATTTACTTCTTAAAATTTTAATTTTAAATTTGCTGCTTAGGAATGAACTGTTTATACAAAGAGGTTTTCCTTAAGAAACATAAAGGTGTACAGCTACAATATAATCCAGGAAAGCAGAAAAATGCATCATGCTTATAGTGAATAGCTTCCTTCCTGCCCTTATCAGAGATATTAAAATATTCATTAATAATTTGAGAAATGAAGGCAGTTGGAAAGGTAATTGTGGCAGTTTGGGTGGAGGTTCATCCTGACTGGCTTGGAGTCTGCTCCAGGATTGCTGAAGCACAGATGCATTCTCAGTGGGTTGGATGGGTAATGGAAAGCATGCTGTGAAGTCTTGCCTGGGGCCTCAGCCCTTCTCTTCGGCCCTGTTTCCTGGGTCTGCCTCCGTGCCACTGCGAACTGGGCAGCCCTGCTGTACCCTGCCCTTGCGCCATGCTTTCTCTGCCTTGGAGCCAGGGTTCATGGACAGACACCATGAGCAAATGAAACCTTTCTCTAGGTTGTGATGTTGGGTACTGTGACTCAGTGACAAGGAAATGGACTAATGTGGTAATCACGTCTGCTCTGAAACTGGTGATTTTCAGACAGTGCATGCTTTTTTTCATTGTTGTGTGTCATTCATTTAACACATTTTTTGACATTTAAAAATTTTTATATATTTTATTTGTATGTTTGTCATACATAATGATCACGTCCATCATGAGAAATTTGCACCTGTGCATAATATATCTTTCTTCTTTTTTCCCATTCCCCTTTCCTCTCTTCAATCCCCCTTCCCCTCCTCATTTGCAAAAGCTTTGTTTCTATTTTATTTTTAAATCCCCATTCCCTTATTTCCAACCCTGCCTCATTCCCCTTTCCATTTGGAAAAGTTCTTCCTACTTCCCAATATGAATAATCCACTTTACTCTTTATTTACCCTTTGATTTTCTCACACAAGAGAAAAAATGTGACATTTAAACTTGTATGTCTGATTTATTTCACTTAAAGTTATGGCCTCAAAATGCATCCATTTACCTAAAAATGTCTCAAGTTTATTCTTCTTTATGGCAGAGTAGGACTCCATTGTACATAAATATTTTTTTTATCCATTCATCTGTTGATGGGCATATAAACTATTTCCAGGATTTAGCTATTATAAATTGTGGTGCTGTAAACATGGGTATGCATATATGATTGTGGTATGATGCTTTGAACTCTTTTGGGAAAATGCCTAGAAAGGGAGTAGCTAGATCAAAGGGAACCTCTGGTTTTAGTCTTGAGGAATCTCCACACTGAATCTCCACTTCCATGGTGGTTGTACCAATTTACACTCCCACCAACAATGCACAAGCATTCTTTTTCTACCACGGTCTGATCAGCATTTGTTATTGGTTGATTTCTTGATAATAGCCATTCTTTCTGGAGTGAGATAAAATCTCAGTGTTGTTTTAATTTTTATTTTTTGAATGACCAGTAATGAACATTTTCTCATATATTTATTTGCTGTTTACACTTCTTCATCTGAGAAGTGTATATGCATTTCAGATGCCCATTTTTGGATTGGGTCTTTAAGTTTGGGTGGTTTGATTTTTTGACTTTTTTACATATTCTAGCTATTAGTTTTTAAATGACCAACTTTATAGTTCATCCAATGACTGGATAGTGAGGATAGAATGAGGAATCAAAAAATGGTGGAATGGTCTCTGCTTAGGTTAAATTTGAAGTTGGAGAGAAAAGAGGTTTTCTGAGATGAGTGCTAGCCCAGCCAGGGAGTGGGGTGGTCAAGTTCTGCTTCTCTATGGAAGTAATCTTCAATCTGCAGCTTTAAAACTGAGTAGAAATCACTCTGTTTAAAGGTTAAGAAAGCATGATGATATTGTAGATCCTAGTGGGTATGCCCACTAAGATTGTAAACTAAAAAAAAAGATAGTAGGATTGGAATAACAAGTGTTGGCAAGGATGCAGAGAAATTAGAGCTTTCATATGTTGCTAGTGAGAAAGTGAAATGGAGCTGCCACTTGGGAAAACAGCCTGGCAGCTCTTCAAATAGTTAAACATAGAGTTTTCACATGATCTGGCAGTTCCATTCCTAGACACAAGCCCAAGAGCAGTGATAATATTTGTCTACATACAATCTTATATAGGAATGTTCACACAACATCATTCATAATAACCAAAAAAGTGAAAAGAACCCAAATGCCCATCAACGGATGAATAGATAAGTAAAATGTGTGTATCCATGGGATGGAATATTGTTTCTCAATAAAAAGGAATGATATACTGATACATATGGATGAAGCCGTACAAGAGACTCTTTATTGTATGATTACATTTACATGAAGTGTTGAGAATAGATAAATATATGGAAGAGGGTTTTTTTTGGTATTGGGAATTGAACTCAGAACTTTGAGCTTGCCAGGCAGGCACTGTGCCACCGAGCTAAATACCTGGCCCCTAGACAAATACATGGAGACAAAAGCAGATTAGTCCTTGGCTAGGGGTAGAGCATGGGAGAGCTGAGGATGATGGCTCAGTGGTAGGATTTCCTTTTTGGGATAATGGCCTTGTGCCTGAATTGACTGGGGTGATAGATAAACAGCCCTGTGAATTATTAGGAGCTATCAAATTGTACATTTAAATGATGAGTTGTGTAATATGTGAATTAAATCTCAGTAAAACTTAGAAAATGGGGAGAGGAGAGGATGCACCAAGTCCCTGCACAGACAAGAAACCAGCAGTGCAGGACAGCAGGGTGTCTCTGGAGGCGGGAAATGGTAGGAAGGGAGGTGAGTGGTGGAGAAAGGTGTGGGGGACACAGCGGGAGGCCCCACTAGGGTGCTCTGGGGCCTTATTATAGATGTTGGTCTTAATTTAAAGACACATTGCAAAGATTTTCCTAGGATAAATGTCATGTAAAACAAAAACTATGTCACCTATCGCAGTTGTCTGGACACACGCGTCCTTGCTTCCCGGGTGCCGGGGTGCAGACCGAGCCCGGCTGGTCTTCAGCATGCCAGCCCCCCGACGGCGTGCACAGGAGGTCTGCAGGAGGCAGGGGGTAACAGCACTGTTTTCTCCCGTGCCCTCGACTGAAGGGTCCCGGTTCCCTCCTTGCCAGTGTGCTGTATCGCTCACAGGAGCTGCTACCGTGCTCCTCAGTGCTGGGTCAAACATCAGTAAAAACACCCACTGTGCTTATTAACACAGTGACT